TCGATACTGTCGGGGTTTACGTAGACGCGCAGGACATAACTCATTACACGTGAGGGGTATCTTAGGGTGTGAGGACTTAATTCTCCCGGAACTGGCTGGGAAGGGGGGCTGTGTCTTGGTATCAGAGAGTCTGTCTCCAAACCGGGCTCTGCTAGCACCGAGGAAATCACACAGCGCGCTGTTCTCTTCCGGGAGTGCGTGGTGGTCCTGTTCCTTCTGCCCACGCTGCTGACCTGCCTTCCCCTCGGTGGGTGAGAAAACAAGGGCCGAGACTGGGCACCTCCCGGAGGCGTGGGGAGAGGACAGGGCTTTCTTGTCCCTTGAGAGCAGTTTCTCACCACTTACTCCCTGAATGCAAGACTCATTTATTCAGTTGCCTGTCAGTATGTATCTCAAAGTCAGCAGGTCTAAAAGGGAAGTCATCTCTCACGTCCTGTGTGCGACAAGCCACAAACCTGAGTATCTGACGGCTTCTTCACTCTCCTTAGCTAATTTATTACCCAGTCCTGCTCAGTTTGTCCTTCATTACCGTCTCTCATACCCGTTCACTTTTTCCCACTCCCTCCACTGCTAACTTTGTGTATAATTTCTTGCTCTGGGTACTTAAGCAGTTTTTAAACTGGTCCCCCTGCCTCCGTTGCCTCTCTCAGCCAGTGCTCATTGATGTCAAAGGGACCTTTCCAGAATGCAGACTGGGCCATGTCATTCTCTGCTTTAAATCCTAAAGTGGTTCTTCCAACTAGAATTTAAAATGAAACAAAATCCTGAAAGGATTCCTTTAAGTGTCTAGAATCTAAAATTCAGACTCACTGGACTGGCCCATGAGGCCACCCGTGCCCTGGGTCCTGCCCGCCCCTCAGCCTCTCTCGTGCCTCACGGTCCAGCCTCAGTGGCCCCTGCAGCTTCTCTGCCACCCTGCGATGGCTCAGGCCTCTTCCCACTGCTCAGAATGCCAGTTACCTCCTTCCCTCTACTCTACCTCCCTGCCCCTGCCCCACCCACCCCACCTTAGCTGACATCGTGTTCATTTATTAAGCTCAGGCATTGCTGCCTTAGGAAATCTGTAATCCCTGTGACCTACTAGGTGCTCCTGTTCTGGGGCAGCAAAGAATATGAACCTTTTTTAATTTTTTTTTTCTGGTGTGCTTAGATTTAGGTGCACTCTGACCTTGGCAAGGTTTCTGGTCTCCGGTCTGCTTTCTCAGCTGCAAAACGGGAGGAACAGTACCTTACAGGGCCACTGTAAAGGCTAAATGAGATCGCACACGTGAGCCTGGTGCACGGCAGGCTCTCTCCTCCTCAGCACACGCTCATGCTGCATTGCTTTACACTACTAAGCATCCTGCTCCATTGTAATTGTTAGTTAACCCATCTGTCTCCCACTTCAACCAGACTGACAGCACCTTTGGGGTGTCTTTCATGTCTGCTTCCCCCCAAACCTGGGAGAAGGCCCCATGTTCAGGAAGGGGCCCTGTT